GAGATCTTTCTGCTTTGGAAAGATGAATGTATCATATCTCCCCAGAATGACCAGCATGTTCCTTCTGGTTATATTCCTTGGCACCATTGGTGAGCTACATTCAGTTGGTGGAGGAGAAAAGCTGTGCATTCCCCAAAGTGATGACCAGGGCTTTTCCATACTCCCTTGAATGAGCAGTTCTGTGCTGTGTTCCCTTGCAGATCTCAGCCTCCAGCAGTTGCAAAGCCTGAAGGACACAGAATCGGTGACACTTGGTGGGACGGTCACCATATCTTGCAGATACAGTCTTGGAAGCATTTCTGACAGCAATTACCCTTGGTGGGCCCAGCAAAAACTAGGGAAACCACCCCAGACTGTGATTTATCACACCAGTATCAAACCGTCTGATGTGCCAGCCCGTTTCTCCGGGTCCATCTCAGGAAATGTGATGTCCCTGACCATAACAGGGGCCTTGGCAGAAGATGAAGCTTTCTATTACTGCTGCTTAAACCCAGGGGGTTCATGGCACAGTCATTCACTGCAGTGTGGAAGCAAGACAAAACCTCTCCCTTTCTTTGCTCTCTTCAAGCATCGTTAGCAGCTGAAGAGTTCCTTGAGTTTTCTCTTTCTATTGCTATCAATCTGCAGATGAAATTGGCCGTTTGGGCCAGAAAAAGGAATTTAAGTACATGGAGAAATCACTGATTTGAATTCAGAAGGTGGTGTTGGAACACAATTCTTCATCTTCTCTCTCTCTCTCTCTCTCCATTCAAACCCACATGGATATTTATGGGACTATCTGTCTTCTCTAGCTTCCACCCATCTCATATGGGCAAAGTCAACCTGTTTTGGGTGCTGTCAGTTAGACAGGGTAACCTTATGGAATCCAGGCAGTGTGTCTTCTCTGCTGCAGCCCCCACCCCCTGGAATGATGTCCCTCCACCCCCAGAGATTATTATGGCCCCTACCCTGGCCCTATTGAGATGAACTCAAAATAAAGAAATAAACCCCCAAACTCATTATATATCATGATAGCAGCAGACCCTCTGGAATCCCAGCATGATTCTCCGCTTCTCTTGAAAACTCTGGAAAATCTGCCACATTGACCATCTCCAATCTTCAAGCAGAGGATATTGTTCTTAGTTCCTCCTAACCTTCTCAAACTCCAAGGTGTTTCCTTGCTGCTATCACACCCCTTTAGACTCTTAGGGATGTGACGGTGTCTGAGTTTCAGAAGGACGCTGCGATTGGAACAGGGCCTTCATGATGAGTTACCAGAAGAAAGAGAACAAGAACCTGAAGTGGGGCAGGGGGTGGGGAGGAGACACAAAGGTTGTTTGGGACATCCTCAACAGTTCTCCTCTGTAAAAAGAGGTTTTTAGGATTGGCCATGCCTTCTGTGGCAGCCACTTTTCTGAAGGTAGCCATATAATGCCCCCTAATGTCCAAATAGGCTTACCAGATATAATCAATATTTTAAGGCATCAGAAGACTCCGCTGTGGTTTACACGGTAGCGAAAATTGTCTTCTGAAATATGGCTGTAGAAGAAACAGGTTGAAAAGTGAGACTGCTTTCAAACTTTGATGCAGATACTTTAAAAGGTCCGTAAATGTTGAGCTGTCCAAAGTTCCATATGTGAGATACAAATCTAATCAATCCCTCCATCAATGAAATCAATCAATATGGCAATGCAGAGGAACAAATTTGTAGTGTGAAAAAATGGAAAACTGCATGAAATTGGACTTGACAAAGAATTCCACGTCTCAAGAAGTTACATGGTTGGGTCCTTTTCTTGATGTGTTGTGTCTTTGGACTTAATGGTTTATTTAACCCAGTGTCATCTTGTGTTTTAATACTGTGACGTTAGAGGACAGCCAGTGGAGCTGCGCTATTTGCAAAGAGGGTGGATAATGGATGGATAATTTGCAATAATTGGGAGAATGTTCATGGGCCAGATATAAAGACCGTTGTCTTGCCCAGCTCCAAAAATTACTTTGATATATAATGACAGAACCAGTAGAGGCCAGGATTGCCACATTTTCTGAACTTCTTCTGGGACTTTCACCTCACAGAAGAATTTTGGTTTCCAGATGCTGGGTATTCAGCTGACAGTTGCAATGAGACAATGACACATTTTCCCTGCTCAATAAGCCTAATCTCTACTTTAAGTCTAAGAGCAAGTCTGGTTTATATTATAGAGCACAGCCCAGAAGGGAGAAGCCCAGGAGAACATTAACTAGGCTGAGAAAAGAACATTGCTACTGAATCGTGACATTCCAACTCTTTGTGGTGCAAAAGCAAACATGGCCTTTGTTCATTGACTATCTTTTACAAGGTATTTCCTTCCGTAAGGAGCACAAAGTAGCAGAAACTGGGTGAAATGCAAAACATAACAGAAAGTCGTGGGAAAGAATTCTAATGGTCCAATTTAGGAATTCTATCTGGTCCTGAATTAAAGAACAAGGCTTTAAAATTAACTTCTAATTCTGGTTTATTTGATTGCCTGCAGAGCCATATTGACGATCTCCTCTACATTCATAGTAATTATATGCAGTGAAAGAGGCTGAATGAGAATCATGGGTGAAGACAACCCAGTGATTTTAATGGTGGAGTTGGGATTTCATCCTAGGATTCTCCAGTTCCTGCTGTGAACTCTTATTGGGCCAGCTTGCCTATTTGTCTCTAAGCTCACACATGTCATCTGTGTGAGCTGTACAATCCTCCTGCTTGGTAAGGAGAGGGATCCACATTGCTTTATAAATCACCTGATTTGCATGCTGATCCTCACCTCTCGGGGTTTAAGAGAGACCTGCTAGAATGCCAACTTAGTGTTCCTTTCACTCAGGAAGATGACCTCATCATCCACCATGGCTTGGATTCTTTTGCTCTTCTCCATCCTGTCTTCCTTTGGTGAGAGTGAGAGAATCAGGGGAATGGAGGGAAAACCCTTTTGATGACCTTTCATATGGAACGCAGTGCAGGCAAATGCTAGCTGTCATGCTATTATATACCATAATTTAGGATTGTTGGGATTGCTGTTGCTTTTAAAAAAAATGATGTTCTCTTTCAGGTCTCAGTATCCAGCAGCTGCAGAGCCTGAAGAATGAAGAATCTGTAGCTCTAGGTGGGACAGTCACCATATCTTGTAGCTATAGCGGTGGGACCATCAGTAACAACAATTACCTTCGATGGATCCAGCAGAAACCAGGGCAGGTTCTAAAGCTCTTAATTGCTACCAGCAACAGCAGGCCTTCAGGCGTCCCAGCCCGCTTCTCTGGTTCCACCTCAGGGAACATCATGTCCTTGACCATCACGGGAGCTTTGGGTGAAGACGATGCTACTTATTACTGTGCAGTTTGGACTGGGAGCGGGTACACAGTCATTGATTCAGATAGAGAAGTGAGACAAAAACCCTTCTCTTAGTCTGGGCTGTCACAGGATAAAAGAGAACTTAATGAAGATCATGAGTGAAGGCTTTCTGGGCAGTTGTTGCAACTGAAACAATTTTTTTCCAGTGGCAGGAGGTCATAGCATTCATAAAAACCATTAAGAAAAGGCATGACCTTCTCTTTTCCAAGTTTTAAACAAGAAAGAAGAGTTTCGACATTCCAATATCTATTCCACTTGGTGTCTCATTGGCAACAGTGTTTTGCCAGAATGTGTTGATCCTGTTTAACCTGAAGGTAATTGTGTGAATCAAAAATGTCAGTGAGATGGGCAAGAAAGCATTTTTCTAGTCCCCTTTCCACTCACATAAGCTATATATAATGTATATTTCTAGTGCTGAGTTTGAAACGGAGAGACACCACAGCCAAATCATTGTTTTATTACTTATGAACAGCCCTTTGTCCCCTCTATTCTGCCTCCCCACTTCATCCTAGTTTAAATCCTAAAAATTTAAATTTCCTAATCCTATATCAGTCACGCCTCTCTATGGATCTAATGAAGTGAGCTGCAGTTCACAAAAGTTTATGGTGTTTAATCAGATGTCTTAGTTGGAAAATATGCTACCAGGCTCCATCCGATTTTTGGAAAACCCTCTAGAAGTGTCATGGATCCATCTTCTTCTTGGGATCAGTTATCTTACTAGTCCCTGGGGACTCTGAACTGATTTTTTGACAATAGCTGGAGATCCCCTCTGCTGAGCATCGTGCGTTCAATGAAGATATCAGTATAACCACTAACATATGATTAGCCCCATTCCTAAAATAAAAGGTTCCAATCTCGTTAAGCCCTGAGGAATCCTAGAGAAGCATCACAAAATCCAGGTTCTTAAACTTTGCATCATGTGGCCAATGCCTTTTTCCATCAAAGCTGCCATTTGCAGCACTTGGCCCCCTCACCCCACCAACCACTCATTTACTCCCACCACCAAAAACTTGTCCATCTCTTCCGAAAATAGTTGCTTTCCGGAGCAGCAGAGCGGGATCTCTCTTAGCCCGGCTGGGGAAGACCAAGGACAGAGGTGGACATTTCCCGTGCAAGCTTTGTACTTTGCAGGTGAGTTGAAGTCCTTCCTCAATGTTCTCGCTCAGTCTGAGAGGGGAGGTGTCCCCAAAAGCTGCAGCAGCAAATCCTAACACGCGAAGAGAAGGCATCTTCAAAGGATGGTCTTTCGTTTTATCGGAAGCAAGCTCTCATATCTGTGATGGGATGGAATTATGAAGGCCAAGCTCAGGGAGATAAGCATTTTCTTAGCTCACCAGAACCGTGTGGGAGGAACAAAAGGATGAGACTGGCAGCTCCCTGAGGAATTCACACTGTTGTGCCTGGAGGACTTTGAGAACTGGGGTTTTAGTCTGGGAAGATTCTTGGTAGAGGTTGTAGCTAATAAACATAGCTGGAGTGAATTTGCATGGTCTCTTGGAGTTCCTTGGGCTAGGCTTGACAATATCTGAGTGAGAATCAATGAGCAGGCAGAAAATTTGCATGAATTTGAACTCACCTCTGGCAAAGGCTTAAGAGCAGAGAGGACAGCTGCAACAGCAGAGAATTAAATCTTGACCCCATTTCCAACCATGGCTTGGGTGCCTGTCCTTCTCCTCCTCTCCTCTTACTTTATGGGTAATAGATGACTTTGGATTTCTGCTCTAAATGTCCATGACTTATAGCCTCTCTCCATCTCCTAATCATTCAGAGAAGTGATTTTCCTCTACTTCTTTGACTTTCAGATTTCTGTTTCTACCACACATTTCTCCTTGGTTTAAATGAACATTCCCCTGATTGAGTCCTTCCTGTCATCTTTGCTTTCTTTCAGGGACTTTTTCCCAGTTTGTCATGACTCAACCAGCTTCTGTGTCTGCATCTCTTGGAGGAACAGTCCGAATCACCTGTACTAAAAGCAGTGGAACAATTGGAACAGGCTATTCATCCTGGTATCAGCAGAAGCCTGGCGGGGCCCCCAA